TTGTATGGGCCTTTTACTACTAACTTAGCCCACATGAAAGCTGTTGTTACAAAAGAGAGCTCTATCCCACTAGCACCTGGCTAAGCTAGCTTAGAGTTGAAGATGGTTCTTTGGAGCCATGCAGAGGGCGAGCGAGTCTCCAAGGAATTGCCAAGGGTAAGCTTTATCCTCATCTGTCTCAAAATGTTATCAGCAGAATGAGGGTAGGACAAATGTACACGTTTCATTTGCTCAGGCTATAAAGACACAATAAATAGAAGAAAAGCATAGGCCCTGGGCTCAAGCAAAGCATCTTCCAGGTGGTAGACCAGAGGCAAGGGGTGCTCATCGCTTTGTTCAGTATCTCAAGTCAGGCTGCACCCTGTGTCTTTAAGGTCTACCAAGGGCAGAAATCCATCTTTCCCTGACAGTAATGCTGCATTGTTCAGTTCATTTGTGGCTTACATCTAATTCCTGGCTGACAAGTGTCCGTTTTTCATTCTCATTCATTAGTTACCCTTACATTAGCACCGCCTTTAAGGCATCTGGTCTGCCTCTTCTCACGTTTCTCAGAAATGATAAAAGATACCTTTAAAGTATTACCCACCCACCTGTCACAGCAAAAAACAGAGCAACAGTAAGGATATAAAATAGATTTGATTAAAAAGAAGACTAGGGCCATTCTTTGCTCTTTCTTAGAAGATGACAGCTACTAAAGGAAGTGAGGAAATACTGTGAGTTTATATAGAAGCTATTACCTTTAGTCGGTGAAAATGCAACCTTTGAGTGTTCTCTAAGCTAAAAATGCATTGAACTTAAAGCGAATTTAACAGTGCATAAAAATTAAGCTCTAATGCTCACCTCCCCAAAAAGCATAGAAATTCAGGAATAAAGCTAACAATATGGTGTACACTGAGTTTTGATTTCCCATTACACTATTTCAGTTTTATGCTTGTGGAAATTCTCTCATTTCAATGCAGTTCTGAATGCAGCCATCTGTCCTTAACAGATAGGCTTGTGCAGAAGTATTTCAGGAGTCTTGGAGGAAAGTCTCATTTTAACTATGCTGTAAATGTGCTGCAATATATGCCACAGGAGCCCCCTCTGAATTTACTAAGACTCTATATTAGTAAAGAAAGTAGCTTGGCTCAAGGTGGTGGGCCAGAATCTTAATTCTCCTCCGTGGTTTCTTTTTATGAAGACATCCTTGAAGGGGTGTGAGAGGCAGGGGAAATGCCTGCTGGTGTTGTGTTGACCCCTAAGCCTGGTGGCAGTGTGACACACGTGAAGAAGCCACCGGCAGAATGAGAGGGACCTCTCAGCATCACTTCCCAGCAAAGCTAGATCTGCTCTGAAGAGATGAGCTGTGGCAGCAGTACTACCTGTATAATGGAGAGAGTATTGCTAACTCAGTCAGGGATTATTCACCATTACTAAAATAATAATGGAGAGAAAGTGCAGCTGCCTTCCTTGTGTGTCTCTCCATATTGAGAGTGAGGGTAGAGAAGGCTCTCTCAACATCACGTTTACAGGGCTGCTGCCGACCAAAAGCTTTAATAATTCACACTGTCTCTCACAAAGAAGTCCAAATTTAGAATAGATCAAGTGTTTTATTGTTTTGGTTTTTTTTTTCAGGCATATTTTCTGAAGATTTTGAAAACTTGTTTTAAAAAATTGGATGTATTTATTTGTCTTTTTCCATTCTATGAGAAAATGTATTCCTTCTGCTTGCAAGCAGTTGTAACATACATGACACTTCAGAAAAACAACAAATGTCTTTGAGAAAGCTTTGTTTGGAAATGATCCAAAGTCCCTTAGTACATGAGCACACTCACCCACTCCTGGTCGGCAGTGTGAAGTTGTCATGAGGACTGTAAACATTACATAGAAAAGGAAGCTGCAGATTGAAGAATTAGAAGGAAATCTTTGTTATCTGCAAAAAAAGTCATTCTGCAAGAGCCATGAAAAACAGGAGTCAGTGAAAAATGCAGTGATAATCCAATAGAGAGTTTCACAGCAGGTGAAGAAATTGTTCTCTTAAACCTTCCGCTTCTTCGTAATTTAGAGCTCACCTTATTACCATGATTGTCTTTTACAGTCAGTGAACCATATGCCTGGTGAGGTAGAAGCTGCCCTGCACAACTGCTGCCTGTAGCTGTTTGTAGGTGGCACAGCTGCAGCAAGAGGTGGTAGGTAGTTCTGCATGGGTTAAGCTGTAAACACGTGGGAGGGAGCCAAAAGAATAGAGTATAAAAGCTTCCACTCATGTAAATACACAAATATGTACTTTTTCTTATTTATTTATTTATTTATTTTCAAATGAGTATCATTTACTTAATAGTATCTAATGGCTCCTTAGAGAACATTACTGTCTATTATATCAAGGCACCTACTTAGTGTATTTTTACTTTGTGACTCATTGACCTGCTGCAATCCAGTGGCACCAACAAGCAGGGTGGGAGGGGAGCTGTTAGGGGCCCTTCCCACAGGATTCACTGCACCTCCCATATCCACCCTGGAGAACTTCACAGAGAAAACAAGCCCTGCACACTCAGCACTTCCAGCTGTTGATAATAAAGAAGGTAAAGTGGGTGGGTTTTTTTTTACTGTTATTACACATTTCTAGACTTAATGCTGTTTACTTCTGTGTGCACTAAAACTAAGGATTTTTAGAGGGGAGCATTTTGTGAGTGAGGTGATTGCTGTGCAAGCATAAGGCTGCTGAGAACTTCTGAGGTCTACAAATGTTTTTGGGAAGGCGGGGGTGACAATAAATCAGTGTTCCAAGGAAAAGCCTCGGGTTCTTGTCTGTCTAACCTGGTTCTACTGTATGCACCCCACCATATTGGAACACCTGAATGCTATTATTCATGCACAATGTATTAGTATTATATGCTTCTCTTACCAGCACTGTAACTTTCTTATTTATCTTCAGCTGTGATATTTGAGCACATCTGTTATAATTTTTCTACCATGCACATATGCATACATGTATATATACGTGTACATTAAATGCACTAAGGCACTTCTTTCTTCCTCTTTGAAGAAGAGAGAATTCCTTTGGATATATCTGTGGAATTAACAGTGATCGATTTTAAAGGTGACCCAGACGGGTCTTGAATATCTCCACAGAAGGAGACTCCACAACCTTTCTGGGCAACCTGTTCCAGTTCTCCATCACCCTTATTATAAAGTTCTTCCATATTAGTATGGAACTTTCTGTATCCAAGTTTTTGGCTATTACTCTGTTGTCAGCAACTGCGAGACTGAGAGACCCCCCCACGGGATGTGACGCGATAGGCCCTCTCCCTGCTCTATGATTGATGTGTGGCATGTACCCTTAGGGGCGTAGACGAAGCACATAGGTTATATAAGCTAGAGTTCACGTGTAATAAAGGCCATTTTGCTGTTCATCATATTGGTGTGTGCGTGCAGTCATTTGGTCCTGGCCTGGTTTTAGGTCAGTACCGTAGGAGGCAATGCAACATACTCCTAGCCCTATCAGTACACACCACCAAGAGGAGCCTGGCCTCATCTGTTTACCTCCCATCTCCCTTCAGATATTTATAAACTTTTTTCAGACCCCCTCTCAGTCTTCTTTCTCCCCCCCAAAAAAATTACTCAAATTGAGTTGTACAGCCAGTATGCCGCCTGGGTAGCCTGTCAGAGGGTGGGCTGGAGCGGTGTTGCTGGGGCTGGCAGCACAGTGGGAGCTCCACAGGCATCATGGACAGCACTGCTCTTGCTGGTTGTCTTGCTTTGGTCACTGTCACATGGGGTAGCCTTGCTGGGCTGGAGTAACTCCAGAGTAGTAAGGATAACAACACACACAACCATGTGAAGGTTGACATGTTGTCTGACAAAATTACCAGTTCTAGATGAAAAATAGCACTTTGGATGGTCTATTTGTAAGGTGGTTCACTTCAGTGATAAGTTTTCTAGAACAGCCGCAAGTTATAGCTTCAAAATATTTGGCTTTTAAATTGATCCCATATGGTTTATTTCTAGTATAAAACAATTATTTGCACAACCTTGCCATGAACTGGCATAGGGAACTTGTTTGACTTCAGAGCAAAAATTTTAAGTTCCCTTTTTTTGAAAGGTAGTTTTTCAAAGACAGATCAGCTCTCTGACATGGTTTTCAGCATGGCCCTGTGTATACCTGCAGCAGGAGCCAACAGCAGGTAGAAATGTTCCCAGCTGCCACTGGGACTGAATGCTCACTTCTCCAAAACCCCATCCTCCTTGATACAACACAGAGGATGACAGTGCGTGATGGAAATACAGGCATAGTAGTAAGAAGGGAAATTCTCAAGTCCTTTTTAACACCAGTGCAAATATGTTACAGAAGTGTACAAAAGCCAAAGTGTGCATCTGCCCAGTACAATGAACAGTTCCATGCTTAAGAGACACATTTGATGCCCCTCTGCCTTTCAGGTTTCTGTGGTGCTGTGCACAGATCCATATGTCATTTGACTCCACATTACGACTGTTGTTATCTAGTACTACAAGAATAGTGAGATAGTAAAGACAGATGAGCTAAACTTGTAAAATTATTGTTTAAAAATGGCAGTACAAACACTTTAAAGCAGGAGTTTAGGAAACTCAGCTTATGTATTTTAGTTTTACAGGCTTATATAATTTCCTTTACCCTTCTTTAGTATTTCCCAGAATCTCTTTGCAAACATAAATTATCCAAAGAAGGAATTTCTTTCTCCTTGAGTTCCATGTCTGGGCATGACCTTTCACAGTGAAGCCTTGGGTCCTGGCTGGTTCATGTGTACTACCACAATATAAATAATAAATCTGCTATGAAACCCTTGACCACTTCATGCTTGAATGAAGTGAAAACATGCCTCAGTCTTTATTAAGTGCTCTACTTTCTAGGGAGCAGATATTCTATTTTCTCTGCGTAAAAAGATTTTTCTCTTATTGGGTTGTACGGCAATGAAACATGAAATAAGCGAGCAGTTATTAATACTACTAATTTATTAACACTATTAATTCTTCTCTCTCCCCAGATCTCAGGAAGACTTTTGAGCAGGAGCCCCTGGGGAAAGAAGTATCCCTGGAGCAAGAGGTCCTGCTCCAGTGCCGTCCTCCTGAAGGCATTCCGGTAGCTGAGGTGAGCAGCAGTGGTGCTTTGCCCCCAGCAGCTGGTACTTGGATAACTCAGGCCTGATCTGTGGCTAATGGAGCAGGGAATAAGGGCTTAGCATGATGAATGGGTGGCAATGGAGAGCTGGCTGCCTGCTGCTGGTAGATAAGATTGATCTGGAGCTGATTAATGACTTTGGAGGCAATTACGATGTCTTGCTGGGCAGAGCTACAGGTGGTGTGGTTTCAGATTTTTTTTTTTCCTTTCAAATATCCTAGTTATTTCTGACATCCAAGCAACATATAAGTGGTGGGGTGTTCTGATACTAGCCTGTTATCCTTCCCTTCCCTTTTAAAGATAATGCTATTTCAGTTTTTGAGAGAAGCACCTTCCCAGCTCACCAAGACATTTTAATTCCATCATGCATTTGTGCACACACTTGAGTATGCACCAGCGTAGCTGGCTGGGTGCACAAGGATGTACTCTGGTTCAGGTGAAGCAGCATGTACTGGCAAGTAGGGGATGCATCTGCATAAGAATTCATCTTCATGGGCTTATCTGTTTTGTTTTTTTTTTTGTTTGTTTGTTTTTTTGCTGACATTTAAATGTTAGAGAGTGGGTAGCCTTCCACCCACTTGGCAGGAGAAAACTTTCTCTTCATCAAAATCTGTGCCCACCAGCCACAGCAGGTATCCCTGCCTACATGCAGCTGTGGCTTCAGCCAAAAATGGCTTCAGACTCTTTGCTCACAGCAGGGGGTCCCTGAGTCACAGGGTGGCTCTGAAGTCCTAAGTCTGCTGTTGATGTTCAGTGAAAAATTCATATTGTTAAATGAGGGTAATTCCCTTATCTGAATTCTCTTCAGCCTCCCTCTGCCATACAGAGCGGGAACTACTGCCAGTTTGCATTAAGATAAGCTGTCATGGCTAAGTAGCAAAGTGGTTGTTCCTCAGCACTGATAACTAATTTCTCAGGAGACCAAGCTTAAAATGTTACCTCCTTATCTTACGCAAGGTTTAATCAGGTTTAATTATTTTTTGTAGATATCCACAAACATCTGAGGGAACAATTAGCATAGGTTTCTCCTATTTCCTTTTTCCCTAGGTTGTTTTCTTTCTCCTTTACAATACCCAAAATTGTACACAGCATTTAGGTCTGCTGAACCCGCTTAGTCAGTTGGCTTTCCCCAAGAACGTTTTAGCAAATTTTTAATATATTTTTTTCCATTTCTGATGCATCTTTACATCAAATCAATATGCTGTCATGCCTTTATGAGTATTTGAAATAGGATAGGTTGTTCTGGAGGTGCAGATACTACCAGAGAACTTCATTACCTGAAACTGAGATTGGTCATGACGAATGGTTTATTTGAGCATGATGTTGCAAGCACCTCTGAAATTTCAGCAATCAGCCCAGCTATTTCCATGGAAAGGTCTGTAAAGCCCCAGTCAGGTGTCCAGGCCTGGATTTAACATGACATGTGGAAGGGGAGCTCTCTCTGCTCTTATAAACATTCTGCATCAGCCATTAGCACTTGTAATTGCTGTTCTTAGGTCAAATTATACCTGTCCTCCTTCCACTAAGCTGCTGTAAAGGCAAAAAAAAAAAAAAAAAAAAAGACAAACAACAAAGGTGCCTCAGTAGCCTTTTCTGCTTCCTAATACAAGGAACTGAGCTCTGAAAAGATCCTCTGCAAGTTGTTCTCATAATAATTGCGCTTATTTCTGCCTACTTGTACCCTGACACACTCCGTCAGTAGCAGAGACTCATGACTCTGCTTGGCTCCGAGTCTTATTTATACCATGGTCAGGGCAGATACCAATTAACACTTGGCAGCCTCAGAATCATATACTCCCCATCTGACATTGAAAAGAACTGCTCTTGATATATTTTTTTTCTCTCTTCTGACTCTTGAAGTCAGGAGGAGATCAAACACCCAGATTGGACAGCCGCCTAATACAGATTCTTTGTAGATTCTTTCCAACACTATTAAAAGTACAAAGACCTGAACACTAATGAATATGAATACCTTAATGTGACACTTTATTACAGCCACTCCGTGAAGCTGGTAAGATAAATTTTAAAAAATACCAAGATGAAAGGTAACTTGGTAGGTTGAAGGATTACATGATTATTTTAATTTAGAGATGAATTAATTCTATGTTTATGACTTCCTGTATTTGTTCAGAGGATTTTCTGATAGGATGGTACAGGTAACTGTGAAAGCACTTGGGAGAAGGCAGGCAGCAAACCAAGGCTTTTTGTACACTGAGTGGTTTAATTTCAAGTACAGTAGGTAACACCATTGCTGTAGTATTAGCAAGTTTGCAGTATTTCCAAATGCTTTGGTGAGCATGTACCTTGGACTCTCCCCACTCTGGGCACTGTGTTCTGGTTTTGTTTTTTTTTTTGTTTTTTCAACTTCCTCCCTTTTAAAGTGGTCACTGACTTTAGCAACGAAACGGGAAGAAAGGCTTACACTGTGAAACTGTATGAAATACTCATTCAGTGAGACATCATGCTGGAATCCAGAGTCTGCAAGTCTTCCACTTGATTTTTCTCTTTTTTCTTTTAACTGTCCCTTAATTTTGTTTTTCTGCTAAGTAGCGGGAATAAGCATGTTTAGGGATAAATACTTTTCTCTTTTTTGTAGCTAGGGTATTTAGTCTTGTAATTCTTGGCATATTTAATTGCAATTAACTGCATTGATCTCTTGCAGATCAAAGCAGGAGCAGATATTATTATTATTGAAAAGCTGAACCATGTAGCAGCATTCAGCTGTTCCACAGGGCAAGAAGGACAAAGGTCAAGATGGGCAGCAAAGCTTTTAAAGCAGCACTTACCAGCCCCTCAGCCCCTGCTAGGACATGACAAGCATTAGAGTAGACTCAGATCACAGCTACTGAAATGAAACCTCAAGATCCACTTAGAAGAAAAAGAAGGCTTGTTAAAATACGCCAGTCTCATGGCCTGAGGTCAAATCAAAGAAAAGGTTGAATCAAAGCACATCTTGCTTGTTCACTTGGGACAAAGAAACAAGTTTGCTTGGTCACTAGGAAAATCAGATCAGCTGCTCTGTGTCCATATACCTCTGTCCAGCATCTGTGCCACTGCACCATAGCATGTAACTCCCATCCTAGCATTATAGCCAGTACCAAGGTGAACCAACTTACAGGCTCTGAAACACCTGAGGAAATGTTTTGCCTTTTCCTATATGTGGCCCAGATGAGCAGGCACAGATACACTGAGGATTCCACATAGAGCTGGGGAGTAAGGGGGCAAATTCACATGTTCCTACCATTGTTATTAAAAAAAAAAAAAAAAAAGAAGATTTAATGAATGAAAATGAAAACAAAAAAAAAGCCTGCCCCACCTCTATGCTTCCTTGACCTGTGCTTTGCACTTTGGAAAGGAATGGGACAAGACAGTGAGAAACAGTCTGACCTGCTTATCATCAGAAGCTGCTGCTCAGCATTGCTGGACTTCAGGCAACTCCAGCTTCCTGATCTCATTCCAAATAACTATTTCTGCTTCACTCTGTTTTGTGCATACATTTTTTCAAGCTTAATTTGAAGTCAATAAGGATCCCATTCTGTTGCATCCCAACACTAATGGCAGAACTATTAGCAATTAATTCCCTAGGTCATTTAATATGTTCTTTTGAAAAATGCCAGCATCATACTGCACATGATAAAATATAATCCAAGACAGAGTCACATCAAATTAGGTCAATGAAATAGGATATAGATCAAAGCATCAATGAGATGTAAGATTGGTTAATATGCCATTAGCTGCTAGATGAACTTTTGCATAGAAATATGTGATTTGCTGCACCTTCAACAGGGGGATAATTGCTTCTTTAATTATAATTGAAATGTTTCACACAGGAGTTTAGCTGGAGACCAGGGTGCAGTGTATAGTTTAATGACTCAGCTGAGTTTAGAACATGACGTGGTATTCATGTCTTCAATTAGGAATTAGGACAAGGACCAAAATGTCCCTCTGTAAAAAGGCAGAACAAGGTCTTTTACCAAGTCAAGATGACTATGGCACATAATTCATTCCAGTTCTGTTGCACGGGCAGAAACAGCTGGAAGCTAGGGATTTCACCAAGTAGGCAGCATCAGGTAGCTGCTCTATCTAGTTGGTTATTGATACAACTGCTGTTTTGTTTGTTCTTTTTTTGTTTCATGAGAACTACTCATGCTTTGCTGCAGTTATCCCTTAATTTGAAGTTCATGTGTACGCATTTCCATGGAGGTGAGCATCATGGAGGCAGTGTTTTATATGCCCAGACAGAAAGTGAGCTTTAAGAGAAGGGAGAGAAGCAGTCTGTGGGCACAAATACTGATCAGCAGGGAAATGGCACTATCCTTTGCAGTGCCTTGCATCATGTAGCAGACTTAATTACCCAGAATTTCAAGGGTGGGCAAGAGGTTCATGTCCATGTGTCAGTGTTGAAGATACAGCAGCCTGATACCCAGTTCTCACTTTGCCTGCAGGGAGGAGCAGGGAGATGAATAAAGTTCTTTGGTACAAATGAACCCTACTTTCTCACTGCTGCTCCAAGGACTGTCCATTCATTTTGCCCTAGAGAGCCATTGAATAAGGTCTATCAGTGCAGGACTGTCCTTCAAATGTACAGGATAAACCCTCCCGTAATAGTCACTGTGTGGTCCTGTACATTTCCACTCCTTCTTCACCCAAATCTATTGGTGGATAGCACTCTTCTGAGAAGCAAGAGTTAACTTACAGCCTCTTCCTTGAGAATAGGCTTGCATGTTGGTCTTGTGCTACCCTAGGAAATTCGCTGACTATGAGGTTGTATATTTCTTTGTTTATATTTACCTTAGATACATATTTGGGAGATATACAATGTAGGAGACAGTTTTTAGCAACATTTTTTGTGAGGCAGATGAGCATCACAAAAAATTCTGAATTCTCCCCTTAGAGAAGATAGCTCACATCCTGGAGAGACTATTCTGCACACCTACAGGTGCACAAGTCCTACTTTGAGTCCAACAGAT